AGAGTGAGAGGTCTCCACGTGAGTGCAACAGCTACACACCTAGCAGTGACACGGCCAAAGCAAACAACAAACGACAGCATTTGAGAAATGCACTCTGTATGACAGGACAAGCAAATGCTGGAAAGAGGTAACCGATGCAGTGACATTTTACCTGGCCAAGGATATGACTCCTCAAAAAACTGTGGAAAAATTAGGGTTTCAAAATACTGCTCTAGTTGGTCCTCAGTACAAAATACCAGTCGCAAATATGTTTCCAATAGGGCCATTCTGCTGCTGTAGTAGCCTACTCAACAACAACAGATTTATGGTCTAGTCACACTGCTGAAGGGACTGTTATTCTTTTTTTCTGTTAGGTTTTGTTACCTTGGATGGTTTATTTTTAAGAAAGGGAAATAAGTTTGGTTGTACTGTTCAGTACAATTCAATCACCCATAAAATAGTCTTAAAACCCAATATGAAGAAGAATTCTGATGCCTGATATTTTAGCCATATTGCCTGTCCCTAGTCTGGACCATATACAGCAGGAGTGGGCAATTCTACTCCTTGTTTTCTAACTATCCCTGCCCAACCCACTGCTGATTAACTCCCTGTAGTCAAAGCGTTGAGATTTTTTTAACCATTACACTCAATAAAAATCTCAAGAAAGTTTTCAAAATGTATTATAATTTTAAATCAGGATTGTTCAAATGTGTTTGGTGGGTTACGCTGCTAACCCATGTGTTACTTCTCTCCTTTCGCTGTCAGCTCCTACATTAACACCAACATAATCACACCTGTAGTTTTTTTATTTTCAGTGCACAGGGCTTGTGTCATGTTGAGGGTGTACCTGTTCATAGGTAAGGCACTGCTCAGTGAGGATCTCAAGCAGTGGGGCAGCGTTGCTGTCTCGTCTCTTGAACATCTCCCTAACAATGGACAGAAGGTTCCAGATGCCTTCTGGCTCTCGGCCCCTCAGAGGTCGCAGCAGACATGCCCATTCAGCAGCAGCTGGTGGCTCCGTGGAGGACAGGTACATGGAGTTTACATCGCTGTGAGTAACACAGTCACATACACACAGAACACCAACGTCAGAGGGAGGGTCAGAGATGTTGGTATAAACTACGATGCTGATCAAAATGAGTACAGACGCTACCCAGTATAAGCTATGCAGCAACAACTTCAGTATTCCTTCTGTGTCTGCACAGGATGCATTAAGAAATAGTACTGATGGTAGGCCACCCATGTTTTGGAAGTGCTCAGAAATCAATACACATTGAAGCTAGTAAAATGAAGGTATGCTGTTACTTTTACTCTATGGGTGATATTTACTAAGAACTCATTGTGGCTCTTTTTTGGCACAAAACAGTGAAACTGCATGTGTTCATATTTAGTAAGGAGTCACAGCGGGGTTTTATGACAGGAAAAAAGGCACCACAGGAATTTGTGCATCTGGTCTCATGCAATATGTATTTTAAGGCATTACCGTTCAGGGATGCAAAAATCAGGGAGGACCGAATGGAAGTTTATACTAATACCATCAGCACCTGCTTTATAATGGCTGCAATAAAAAAAACTGGCTGAAATTTAACTGGTCACCTACTGAATGAAATAAAAGATGATTTGCCTGGCAGAAGACTACATGATCGCAACTCCAAAATATGTTTGCTGATTTCTTCAAACCTATTAAAAGTTCAGTTGCAGCATACACACTCTTTTGTCTTGTCCCTTTCAGTCCACCCATGTGCTGTACAGGCACATCCTTACCGGCTGAAGCACATTCAAATCAACACTGCTGCAGCTTTGCCTATTTACATCATATCCTGCTAAACTGAAAAACTGTAATGCCACAGTGTCTTCCACACCTCACGCCAATTTGCGACTGTCTTTTTCAAATAAAAGGCTGACATGTAAAATTGGCACCATATTCAGAGAGTGAAATGTGTGTGAAAGGGTTGGAGCAGAGACGCACCAAGCTGCCAGTCGGCCGTCAGCCACCTTTTGGCTGTTGGTAATCATCTGTTGGGGCTCGTATTCCCAATGTGCCCCGCAACATTGGCACTACTTGGACCCTGTCAGTGGCTGACGGCCTTGGCCCATTGGTGAGAGAGAGACCACTCTGATTGGCTGTTCAGCTTAGCAAATCAACGCACAAGAAGAGTATCGTTTGGGGAAAGCCCCTTCAGCCTGTTGCTGTAGTATTTCACATTTAGTGCAGCTTTTCCCTTGTTTTTGCCTCCACAACCTCTTTTCTTCCTCCACAACCAAAAGACCAGGGGCAGAGAACAGCAGTGTCATTTGCAGCTTCTTATCTGACATTTTCTCAATTAGAAGCAGCTATAAACAGCAGCTGTGTTGAATGAGAGGTGCTTTGTTTACACTTGTATTTCTGCAGTCAAGCTATTCTTCTTTCCCTTTCTGAAAGATGAATACAGAAACCACCATCTACTGGTAGGGGGAGCCATTTATCTCATGCATGTGCAGAATGTATGTGCTATTCATGTAGTTCTTTCACGTCGGCTTGTTGTGTGTCTGCCCTTAGAAAAGTGTTTGAGCATAAGCCTGACGATAGTTCTGCTAAACCATTTAAGAAATGTGTTTAGGAGCCTTATATGAGGAAAGCACTGTGTACCTGAAGACGACAGGTGAAGGCCCACAAAATTTGTGCAGAGTCTTTTTGATGTTGTCGCTAAGGGTTGACTCATCCAAATACCAGGTGCTCTGGTCAGATGCTGAAGGACCTGCTGTTGGGTCTACACACACACACACACACAC